CATGTACTCAGAACCCTTTCCACAGTTTGAAGTGTTTTTCATTCTGCGGGTTAATCCCAGCCCCCGGAGTGCCTGGCCCGTCAGTCTCATTTTGTCTCCCTTTCCTTCTGCTTCCCTCCGTCACCCTGGCCCATGGCAGCCGTGAGGGCCGTGTGAAGGCCTTGGTTCAGATGTCCACAGCCGGCTGTGGTACCTGGCTGGTGGAAAAGCCCAGTCAACGTTGGAACAGGAACCCTGGTTATCTGTTTTCCCTTCTCTTTTCTTCCTGCCATGTTTTCATTCTTCTGGTTTTATGCCTGTCCTCATTCAGAACACACACACACACACACACACACACACACACACAGAGACCCACACCACCCTGCACACAGCCCTGCATGGCGTGTTGTTGATTGCCAACAAATGGCAATGTGGAAAGGGAAATCCAAAGTAATGGTCAGGACCGTGGGGTCAGCTCGACAGAGTGGAGAGTCTGAAGATATCCCTTTGTGCAAGCTGCAGAGACCACCCCCTCCCCCGCCCCTGCCAATGCACACACACATGCTAGGGAGGAACCGTGGCTAAGAAATGCAAGTGGCCTCTTGGTTGTGTGGTTCCCGCTGCCCTCTTCCCCGAGAGGGGGCCTGCTGGCTGGCTGACAGATACAGTAGAAGACCTTGTCTGGGGGATCGGCCTGCTGGCCTCGGTCAGAATCCGCTCGGCAAGCACGCGGATTAAAAGGGGTTTTTGTTGAGGTAGAGCAGATGGACAGGGAGAGGCAAGAGTTCACATTAACTGATCGTAAATCAGGGCTCCGTTGTAGAAGGGAGAGATCTGGGTCTGGTCACTTAGAAGTTTGAGCTAATTTAATTTCTTCTTCTTCTTTCTTATTAGAAGAACACCTCATGCTTATAAAAAAAAATCACTGTGAAGAATTTAGAAAGTGTGTGTGCCAGAGAAAGGGATAAACTCCCTTTGTCCCCAGGAAGAATCATCCGTCAAGGCCTCCAGCATAATCCTGCTGATTTTGTCCGTCCTGCCGACATCCCTGCGCATACATATGCAGTTATGATTAAGACTGAAAATACCAATTTCTCTTTTAGTTAAATACGAGAGAAGACTGGGAGCCAGGTCCGGAAGTTTGGAACACAAGCCCAACGATCGCTTGGGTCAGGCCACCAGCCTCAATGTTAGTAATAAAACCAAAGACTATGTGTAAATTTATGTTTGGGAAAGCCGAGGCGAGCTCAGGTGAAGGAGAAGCTCATTGGCACAGAGGGCCATGCGGAATTTACCGTCTTCCTTCGAGCATCGCCTCGATCCGCTCCCTGGGAAGACTAGCATGTCTGTGCTGTGTATGTTTTTCTTGCTGCCCCCTAGTGGTGCTGGGAGAAATGGTCGGGCAGGGAAAGAATTCTGCACATTGGACTCGGTCTTCCCCCATTTTTCTTTTCTTTTCTTTTTCTTTTTTTTTTTTTTAAAGATTTTGTTTATTTATTTGACAGAGATCACAAACAGGCAGAGCAGCAGACAGAAAGAGAGGAGGAAGCAGGCTCCCTGCCGAGCAGAGAGCCCGACCTGGGACTCGATTCCAGGACCCCGGGATCATGACCCAAGCCGAAAGCAGAGGCTTTAACCCACTGAGCCACCCAGGCACCCCCTCCACGTTTCTTTTCTTCCTTTCCTTTCTCCCTCCCTCCTTCCCTCCCTCTCTCTTTCTCTCTCCCTCCCTCCCTTTGTTTCTTTCTTTCTTTTATTTTATTTATTTGAGAGAGAGTGATAGAGCCTGAATGGCGGGAAAGGGATTGGGGCAAACAGAGGGAGAGGGAGAAGCACACTCCCTATTGAGCAGGGAGCCCAACGCTGGGTTCCAGGACCCCAGGATCATGACCGGAGCTGAAGACAGATGCTTAACCGGTTGAGCCACGCAGGCATCTCTCTCTTCCCCCATTTCATTTTCCTTTCCTTTCCTTTTCCTTCCTTCCTTCCTTTCTCATTTTTCATTTTATTTTATTTTATTTATTTGAGGGAGAGTGATAGAGCCTGAGCGGTGGGGAAGGGATTGGGGCAGAGGGAGAAGCAGACCCTGTTGAGCAGGGAGCCCAGTGCTGGTCCCAGGATCCCAGGATCATGACCCGAGCTGAAGGCAGATGCTTAACCGGTTGAGCCACGCAGGCATCTCTCTCTTCTCCCATTTCTAATGCTCTCACTCTGGCTTAGTGGATGTTCTCCATTCCGTCTGCACATATTTTGATATAAGGAACCCTTGAGACTCTGGGGCTCTCATTGAATTTAGTCCTGTGCTCGGTGAAAATGAGGCACACGGAACATTCAGTGTGAGATGTCCCAGCTGGGAGAGTCCAGAAGCCCTCAGAGCAGCTGAGGGTTGGTTCAGTTCACTGCTTGCTGGGTAGTCTGTCTAGAAGTCATTCTTCATGTTTGGGGGTTTCCCTCCTAGCGGTAGTTCCACTGACTGTTACCAGCACAAAATTCAATTAAGTACAAGAATTAATTAAGATGAAACTCTGTGGAACCTATTGGAAAATTTCGTTCAGTAGAGATCATTGGAATGCTATGGAAAATCTCAACAGCGGTAAATTATTAAAAAGACATATTGAATTATGTGAAAAGCATACGATGCTGTGAAAAACTGTAAAAGCCTGGAGTTGTACACTCAGATTATTTCATTAGTGTCTTTAAGTTCTTAAGCTCAAGCTAGAAATCCTATGCTTAGTGAACGTTGGGGTTTTGTGGAATGCGTGACCACAGGGAGGGAATAGCAGATTCGCGATTCCCTTTCCACTTTTGCCCTCGAGGCTGGATGAAAGGGCACTTTATTGAGAAGGATTGAGAGTCATTATTACTTCCTTTCTTTCTCGGCCTAATGTTTGTAAGTTAAATGGGCTTTTTACGAAAAGCCAGCGACTTAACATTTCTCTCGGTGTTGCCCCTTCTGCAAGAATTTGACCATCACCAGAATCACGGCTCCCCTCCCCTCTGGGCTTGTCCATAGAACCACCAGGCCCCGACCTGCCCTTCCACCTTCCTCTCTTGCCGTTCCCTGCCTTCCATCCAGAGCTTCTGGCCTTGCCAAGGGAGGTGCAGCCTGGGGCCACACGTAGGCATGGACGACTCACATATACCGCTTTCTCCCATCTCATGAGTTTTCATGGGTTACTGGTCACCAGTGTCCTTCACCCGGCCAACTCCGGTCTCACCTTCCCTGCCAAGCCCACTCCGTTTGCTCCTGATTTACCCGTTGCCTCCTTCCCTCCACTGGAATGTGAGTTCGTGTATCCCTGCCTCTAGATCAGTGGGCATACAGCAGGCATTCAGTAGATGGTGCTGGAACGTTGAAAGTATGATCAAGAGCCTTCTGTTTGCTGGGCAGTGTTTGGGTCCTCTTCCAAAGGGGGAGATTCCCCCCCTTTCTGCTCCCTAGTCCCCCTGACTCACCTACATCCTTTCTCTCATGATTTCGCACTAACCGCATCTGTCTGGCTCTCTTTCTTACCAGCTCATGGGTTTGCAACTACAGCCCTGGAGCCAAATTCAGCCCTGGTGCCTTTTTTTTTTTGGGGGGGGGGGGTGGCCTGGTTGCTAAGAATAGTTTTGACCCTTTGGTGGCGGGACTGATTGCTGGCAGAGTTGGGAACCTCACCTCTTGTCCTACAAAATCTAAACTGTTCACTGCCTTGGCCCCTGCCAGCATGTCTGTGGACTCCAGAAGGAACCCGACCCTTTTTTTTCCTGGATAAGGGGACTGCCTTGCATCTTTGAATTCCCACGATGTAGCACTCAGTAAATGTTCTTTTTTGGCCTTGAACTGTACTCACTTTTTTTTTTTTTTTTTTTTTTTTTTTTAAATATCCTCCCTCTGCAGTCAGATGGGGTTGTGAATCCTGGCTCTGATCCTTTCTAACTGTGAGGCTGGTGGGGTGGGGATGGTGCAGGTCTGAGCCTAATTTCCTTGTCTGAAAACTCCCGAGGCGATAATAGCCATTTCTAAAGGCCATTGTGAGGACTAAAGGCAGCTGTCACCATGTCAGTGCCTCTGCGGTACTGAGTTCAGGTTTGTGTTTAATGTTAGCTGTTACTGTTTATCCATGTAAACATCCAGCTCAAGTGGTGTAGTCTGGTCAGAGTCACATAAAATAGGTACTGATCGCAAATTTTTTTTAAAGATTGATTTATTTGAGAGAGAGAGAGAGCAGAAGTGAGCGAGAGCAGAGGGAGAAGCAGACTCCCCACACTGAGCCAGGAGCCCAGCTTGGGACTCAGTCCCAGCTGGGATCATGACCCAAGCTGAAGGCAGACGCTTAACCGATGGAGCCACCCACCCGCCCAGCAACCACAAATTTAAAAAAAAATCAGTCCTGTTAGGATGACTTCTTTTTTTTCAGGGATGTCGAAAATTAAAAGCTGATTTTCCAGGGGGCATCTGGGTGACTCCGTCTGTTGAGTAATCATGATCTTGTGATTTCGGCGCAGGTCATGATCTCGGGATTGTGAGATCAAGCCCCACGTTGGGCTCTGCGCTCAGCGGAGAGTCTGCTTGAGGTTCTCTCCCTCTACCTCTCCCCCTACTCGTGCCTTTTCTCTCTCTCTCTCTCAAATAAAATCCTAAAAAAGAAAAAAAAAAGTAGTTACCCTGTCCATGGATCTGGTCCTTAATTTTCTTCTCCTTTTCTGTGTTCTTTTTTGTCTTCTTTTGAGGTTGAATGAATCTCACGGTACCAATTTAGAAAAGCAGCTGAAGTGCCCTTAAGACAGAAGGCACCTGCTGTGAGGGGGTGAGTTAGTGCAGGGCTCTGAGAGGTGGGGATTTGTTCCCGGAGCAGTCTCTGCAGCAGGTGTCTCTTCCTGGAGAGGCAGGCGACGCCCATGAGGTTGGCAAGGCCCAGAAGGGAATTACTTCTGGGTGTACCGTATTGGCTTTGCAGGCTCGTGGGCACTCTACAAAGGCGTGAGGAATTGAAATGCATTCACACATGATGTATCTTGGACCTCTTTCTTCGCAGGGACAGTGAAGGTGAAAAGCTCCAACATCCAGGTTGGAGATCTTATCATCGTGGAAAAGGTGGGTGGGATCCCACAGTTTGTGACCGGTTGCTGTGTGAGTGTGTTAAGGGGGAAGTCATGGCCACCTCGTCATAGATCCTGACTCCGGTAGACTAACTGAATGTAGGCTTTTTGGGATTCTCTCCTAAAGCTTTGCCTGGGGAGGAAAATTTATTTGCCATGAGACACCCACATAGAATAATTTTTCAAGGTTTATGTATGCTGGTTAGCCAAAACTTCTGCTTACAAACCCAAGTTTTGATTCCTATTGGTGTGTGTGTGTGTGTGTGTTTTTAAATATTACCATGAAGTCTTTCCTTGAAGCCTGCTTTCACATAAAAATATTTATCATTTACCGTTTTGAGCGATTTTAGCTTGCATTTTTTTTGACTTAAACATCATGTTCTGTCATTTTTGTGGGGAGCACGGATCACGTGTAATACGAGAATAGTAAAAACGGCCCCAAATGCCTTTTTAAAAATAGCGCCATTCATACGTTTATGACTTCAGCAAACACTCCCGTCTCTTTTTGGAAGGTCGTGGTTTTGGGGGTGGCCCCGGAGAGGCTTGGAATAATATTTGATTAGAAAAGGATTGTATCCTAGCTTGTTTCTGTAGGAAGTGAACTATGCTCTTTTAAAGGGATTAAATCCAAGAACTCAAAGTTGATTTGAGGTGAAGGGAAGCTCCCCTGTGTAGTAGCTCAGGAGACCCCATGGACCCTCTATGTTATTACATACTTCTCTGTAATTAAACGAGGGCTGCCGTTGGCTTACGCCCGTGTTTTCTCGAGAATGGCTTTTGTCGCTTCTTACTACTCGACTTCCTTATTAAAATTCCACTCAAAGCCAAACATCAAGCCAGAGAATTGGCAGGAGCAGAGAGTGTGAGCGAGTGTGCGTGTGTCTTTGGTTTCAGCAGACTGACTGCACGAAAGCCGGCGAGGGTGGCTGGCTTTTGGCCCGGGCCCTTCTGGCTGGAATTTCGGGAGGTAATGGTTGGATTCTCCAGAAAACTAGAAGCTCTCTTTCTGAGAGAAGATTTCAATAGGGGATTAGTAAAGTAACAGCAGCGCGCAAGATTTTTCAGATTCAAAACAAAATAAATCCCCAAAGCTGTGTGTGACAAAGGCAGAAACGTAAATGAGGCTTGGGTTTCGGCTGCCCCCCCCTCCCTGGTGAGGGGGCTGCGGTGCTGGGGGGTGGACGGAAACCCCACACATGGCTATTCGAGGTAACAGTCTTTCTTTTCATTACACAGAACCAGCGGGTCCCTGCTGACATGATCTTCCTGAGGACATCAGAAAAAAACGGTAAACATCTGGGATCAATTTTGAAAATAACCATTAACCTTTCAGTGGTAATTTGGCAAAATAATCATTTGAAAATGGAACAGAAGTAGATGATCATTTTGGAGCCATGAAGGCAAATCAGAAACATCTCTTTTAATAGAGCAGTCTTTACACAAAACAAAACAAAACGTCTTCGGTCCTCGCAGGTCAGTAGATTTTGATCGTCACCAAGATACAGTTAGCTGGGCCCAGGTTGAGTGCCAGCTGGTGGGTCCACAGACCGCGGCTATGATTTTCCTTTCGGGGCTGCTGTTGGGCTCAACTGTAGGACTTGGCAGGATCAGGAAGCATGTTTCACAGATAGAAGCACCCAGAAATCCTCTCTCTTCTGAGAAAATGCCAGGAGATACGTGGGACCCTAGAGAAGGTGGGGAGAGAGGTAGGTGTCCTTTCTGGCCCTTCGCTCATGAGCCGTGAGGCCACGCCTATCATCACCCATGAATGTATTTATTACCACAGCCCACTGGGACCTGAGCGAGCTGCTCTAGGCTCCTACCCGACGCTGCTCCCTCCCAGTTTTTCCCGGGGTGGCTGACACCTCTGCACCCCAACCCCATCTGTTGACTTTCATCTCCTTCTTCTTTTCTTTTTTTCTGTTATTTAAGCTGTTTTGAGGAAATGAGGCTGTTTTTTGCCGGAGTACAGGCACAATCAGATCTTTGAGCATCTGAAAAAAATAACATTTATATTCCTTCAGGGTTGCTGTAACTTATTTTATTATGAGTCAAATAAAAGTGCAGGTGAAACTTGATACGAACAATAATTTATCCAGAGATGGAGTGGAAGGCCCTAGATTCAAAGTCTTCTTTCAGAGTCTCCAGCTTCGTCCTCAGTGGGTTCTTGTGTCCTTATCTGTGAAGACAGAGTGTCATGGATTAGGGTCCCTGAAATGCTTCCCTCCCTGCCCCTTGCCTGTCCCCCCAAAGATTAGACATGCTTTTCCTCAGTGGTGCCCAGAGGTCTTAGCTGCGGTGGCCGGGAATTGAGCGCGTTCTGGGTCTGATGAAATCCACCGCTGACTCATTGCTGGGCGAGCTCGTGGGCTGGAAAGAGGCCTCCGCGTGCGGGTGGGGAATGAGCACATGCTTTTGTAGCGCTTCCTGTATTTTGAGCAGCCACCAGGGTCCATTGTGACATCCACCCTGCGGGTGCTGTTCTGTCCACTTTTTTTTTTTTTTTAATTTTTATTCATTAGACAGAGAGAGAGAGAGATCACAGGTAGGCAGAGAGGCAGGCAGAGAGAGAGGGAAGCAGGCTCACCGCTGAGCAGAGAGCCCGATGCGGGGCTCGATCCCAGGACCCCGAGATCATGACCTGAGCCGAAGGCAGAGGCTTAACCCACTGAGCCACCCAGGTGCCCCTGTTCTGTCCACTTTTACACGCAGGGAAACCAAGGCTTGGAGAGGCTAAGCGTCCCCAAGGACGTGCGGCCAGTAAGTCGGGTAGCTGGGCTTGAATCTAGGAGTCTGGTTCCTGATCAGGTATCTCCTGCCCAGAACGGCCTCGAATGCTGTCTGTGCCAGCCCCCTGCTGGGGCTTCTCGCACCCAATCTCCATAGCAAGCTCCTGTGCTCTCTGTCATCCCATTTCACAGACCGGGCCTGCTGGGTTTAGCAAAGTCAGGAAACTGGCCTGGGTTCCTATTGTGAGTGGATGATGGACTGAGGACTTTTTTTTTTTTTTTTTTAATTACCTTATTTGTCGGGGCGCCTGGGTGGCTCAGTGTAGGTTAAGCCTCTGCCTTTGGCTCAGGTCATGATCTCAGGGTCCTGGGATCGAGCCCCGCATCGGGCTCTCTGCTCATCAGGGAGCCTGCTTCCCTTTCTCTCTCTCTCCGCCTGCCTCTCTGCCTACTTGTGATCTCTCTCTGTGTCAAGTAAATAAATAAAATTTTTAAAAATTTACTTACTTGTCAGAGAGGCAGAGGGAGAAGCAGGCCCCTTGTTGAGCAGGGAGCCCGATATGGGACTCGATCCCAAGACCCTGGGATCGTGACCTGAGCCGAAGGCAGACGCTTCACCGACCGAGCCACCCAGGTGTCCCTGGAGTGAGGATTTGAGCCCAGATCTTCCGACCCCAGAGCTTACAGAGGAAGCGGGAAATGGGGTATTTGTTCTCCCTTTTGGAGGTTGGTCCCTGACTGGGTTTTTACAAGGGCGAGCGCAGGAAGTGCTGAGAGCCGCGGGGGGAGGGATCCTGGAAGCGGAAGCGGAAGCGGAAGCGGACGGACAGCGCCCACCTTCCTTCCCCAGGCTCCTGCTTCCTGCGCACAGACCAGCTGGACGGCGAGACGGACTGGAAGCTGCGGCTCCCCGTGGCCTGCACGCAGAGGCTCCCCACCGCGGCCGTGAGTAGCTTTCCCGCGGAAACGCAGACTGGCACCCGTGTCCTTGTCGGGCTCTCGGACTCAGAGGCCCTCCAGGGCCCGATGAGGGATGTCAGGTGGGAAGGAGGGCGGGCAGGATGGGGTCCTGGGGGGCCTCCCCGAGCACCTGTTGTTTCAAGTCGCGCGGCCGAGTGAAGTGCAGGGCTGGGGGGCTCTTTAGGGGGGAGCTCAGAATCTTATAAAGCCTCGACAAGGCGCCTTGCATAAAGCTAGAAGGAAAGGCACATAGGTATATCGTCCCTCTGCTCAGGGCCTCTGGAGGCTTCTCGTTCCTGAGAACCCAGACTGCCGTCCTTGCTGTTGTCCTCAAGCCCCCTGGGGTCTGTGTCCCTGCCAGGACCCTGACCTCAGCCTAGGTGCTCTGCCTGCCTGTGCCCTCTCCCTCTGGGTCCCAGTGTTTGCCCTCGCTGTTTCCTCCGCAGGGGACAGTTGTGCTCCAGTGGCTGCCTGGCTGGGCCTCTCCAGCCTACCTCCTGGGTTTTGTGCACAGATCTCCTTGCGTGAGAGGCATTTTCTGACCACCCTCCCCTTATCTTCCCACCCGACTCACTTCCAGGCAGTATCTCTGAGAGCAGAGTTCTGCCTGGTATGTTCACTGCTGAATACCCTATGCGTGGAACAGTGTGAGGAACAGCATATAGAGCCACGTGTGGTACAGCCACGGGCCCTCTCCCAGGGCGTGGCCTAAGGAGTTAGAACCAGCAGGCTCTCAAGGGTGTGCAGAGCCCCACACTTCCCTGTCAGCCCCACATTACTCAGGCTATGATCTGTAAAGCAAGAGGAGCAGGGAGCCAAAGAGTAAGTTTAAGGACGAGCCACATGGATTGGATGTGGCCCATGGACAAGGTTACAGAGTCACAAAATGTAATTTAAACGCACAGAGGCCAACATGCCCCAACAGTGGCCTGAAAGGATTCGGCAGAACATGAAAGCTTTTCCTGGGCTTGTGGTCACAGGATTAATGCTGTCCCTTATCCATGTTCTGTGAGGAAGGAGTGAGCAGGACAATGTTCCATGTTATTAGGCCGGTAAATGTGCCCCCTGTCCTAATGATGTCTCATGGTCAGTGACAAGTGAAGTGGCACCATTACTAATATTAATTCTTAAACCAGAATTCTGGAGCAGTGAGTTTCTAACACTGTTTGGGAGCCCCTGGGAATCCTGAGGGGGCACCGTCCTGCCCCGAGATGGGGTTGGTTTAGTGAGAGGGTTCTGGTTTTTCTGGGTGACGCGTTTTAACTTCCTGGTAAGATTTCTCCAAGGGAAGCTTTCTGGTCCTCATAATGATTTGAAGGACTCTCTTTAAGAGATGGTCTGGAAACGCCTAGAATCATGAAGGTGCGGGTCTGTCACGAAGGTGTGGGTCTGTTGCTGCACAGAGTTGCTTTGTCGGTGTGTGCTTTGGATGCGTCAGTTCAAGGAACACCGCTGTTGGACCCTCTGCCTGTTCCCCCATCCCCAGCCCCTGCCCTGCCCCGTCGGGCCCAGGCCTGGGCTGGGGCCCAGAGAAGGAGATGCTGCTGTCCTTGTTAGGAGACTCCTCCTTGCTGGGCTAGAGGGATCCGAGAGGGGAGCAGTGATTTAGCAGAAGAACCGTATGAAGGGATGACCTGGGCATCACAAGACTGTGCTCTTGTTAAACTAAATAACTTAATTAATTGTATGAAAAGCCCTGGAGGAAGAAATGAGAAGTCTTGCTTGTGGCCTCTGCCCCAGACCTTACCTGCTTCCCTCTGGGGATCCTGTAAAGTCAGTGGTGATCTTCCCAGACCTCTGCCGGCACACCTCCCTACGTATGTACAGCTGTGAACTTGCTGGTGGGCGGGTGGAGCGCACGTGTATATGAGATTACCCTGTGTTTGGGATTCTGCAACTTTTGCTCCTGTCCACTTTGAATGTATCCCTGGGTTGTTTTTTTTTTTTAGATTTATTTATTTATTTGAGAGAGAGCAAGGAGGAGTGGTAAAGGGAGAGGGAGAGAGAAAAACTCAAGCAGACACCATGCTGAGCACAGAGCCCGATGTGGGACTCGATCTCACAACTCTGAGATTACGACCCTGAGATCATGACCTGAGCCCCAAAATCAAGAGTCTGACTCTTAAATGAGTGTGTCACCCAAGCGCCCCCTCGGGACCTTTTCTTATTAGTACATAGAGGCCACAGGATAAACACATCTGCACGTGGGACCTCCTAGCTAGTTAGTAGAGGCCACAGGCCCTGGGCAGGGGACGACCAGTAACCTCTGCCCCCCTCTGGGTCCCTGTAGCCAAGGTATATTGTGGTCTGGATTTGCCTGTCTACCTGATTGGAGATTTTTTTTTTCTCAATTTTTTTCATTGTGGTAAAATACACATCAAATTTACCACGTTATCATTTTAAAAGGTACAGTTCAGGGGCGGTAAGCCCATTCGCGCTGTGCAGCTGTCCCCACCGTCCATCTCCAGAGCTCTTCACCATGCGAAACAGAAACTCTGACCCATCAAACACCAGTTCCCCATTGCCCAGTCCCCCGCATCCACCACTGCACTTTCTGTCTCTATGAATTTGACTGTTCTAGGGACCCGATCTAAGGGGAATCATACAGTATTTGTCCTTTAGTGATGGGTTTATTTCACTTAGCATAATGTGGTGGCCTGTGTCAGGATTCCCTTCCTCTATAAGGCTGGGCAATATTCCATTATATGCTGTATCCCATTTTGTTCTTCCATTTACCCGTCAGTGGGCGCGTGGGTTGTCAGCATCTTTTGGTGACTGTGCGTAATCACAGCCATACAGCATCTTTGAGACCCTGCTGTCACTTCCCCGCGAGTGGCTTGCTAATCACAGTAATTCTAAGTGTAAGTTTTTGAGGAACCGCCATATTGTTTTCCGTGGTGGCTGCACCACTTTACGTTCCTTCGAACAGTCCACGGGCGTTCCGGTTCCTCCACATTCTCGCCCATACTTTTCAGATGGTTGCCATCCTCCTGGGTGTGAGGTGTTCTGTTTGCTTTTTATGCCTTTTCCAAGGCCTTATACAGAGCAGGGCCAAGTAAGTACCGTTGACTGAGCACAGACCTTCGTAGGTACCAACAGCTCTTGGCCCAGGCAGTGGAGCAGAAGGGGGACGTAGGCCGTGAGCTAGTTTGGGAAGCACCGGGTGAACACAGACACACAGGCATCTTCACTGAAGTCTGTCGGGGTGTTGTGGGATAGTGTGTGGAGCGACCGCTAAGCGTAGTTTATAATAGAGAATTTTTTCTTCTCTTTTTCCACCTCCCCTGTACTTTTGAGAGCCTGCTTGCTGTTTGGGGGATGGAGTTGCTTTTGAAAAACTCTGGGGGCCTCCTGAGATCTCTTTACTTATTTATTTTTTAATATTTTATTTATTTATGTGACAGAGAAAGATCTCAAGCAGGCAGAGAAGCAGGCAGAGAGAGAGAGGGAAGTAGGCTCCCCGCTGAGCAGAGAGCCTGATGTGGGGTTCGATCCCAAGACCCTGAGATCATGACCTGAGCCAAAGGCAGAGGCTTTAACCCACTGAGCCACCCAGGCACCCCTCCTGAGATCTCTTTAATCCTGAACTTTGTTTTTTTTTTTTTTTTTTTTTTAAGATTTTATTTATTTCTTTGACAGAGAGAGACACAGCAAGAGAGGGTACACAAGCAGGGTGAGTGGGAGAGGGAGAAGCAGGCTTCCTGCCCAGCAGGGAGCCCGATGCGGGGACTTGATCCCAGGACCCCGGAATCATGACCCGAGCCACAGGCAGACGCTTAACAACTGAGCCACCCAGGTGCCCCCTGAACTTTGTTTTAACTCCAAAACGTTACCTCTGTTGAACAGGATCTCCTTCAGATTCGATCGTACGTCTATGCAGAAGAGCCAAATATCGACATTCACAACTTTGTGGGAACTTTCACCAGAGTAAGTAGGCTTCGCTGACCGGGCGCTCCCGCCTTGCTGAGAGCACGTCTGGGGACAGAGACCTGCAGACAAGAAGTGTTGACAGGTCTTTGTCAGGGGGTAGCTCTGCTCCAGGAAGGGGTGAGCTTCCCCTAAGAAGCCCCAGCTTGAAAACTGACGTAGTGTTTCTCAGTGAGGTTGGCACAGCGGGGGCTTTCTCCCAGCCTCTGAACAGCGTGAGTTTCCCCGACAGCGTAGACCCCAGCAGTGTTAGAATTACTGTGAACTCTGTGGTGGGAAGGCAGGTACTTTTGCTGTCTGCTTTGGACACATCCATGACCTCTTCTACTCACACAAGCCCCGGCTGGCATTGTTAACAATTTTTAAGCCACTTCCCAACTATTCTACCTAAAGGCTAGAAATTAAATTTAGCTTTCAATTATTTGGAGAATCTGGGACCCCCACGGAATTCATGGTCTCTTCCTAGAAGCCATAGGACGGGCCAGCAGAGGGCTGCTTCTGTTTGATTTGCTTCTGCATTTTAGTTCCTGCCTTGCGGGACGTGTCTTCAGTGTTGGAAGCCTGTCCTCCTTTGGTCACGGATGACCCTGGGGATGAAAAGCACGCCCAGGACGGTGGCTTTGGAGCTTGGCCCTTCTCTCCTGGCTCACCTGGGGGCTTCCAAATAGGGGTCATCCTCTCTTCCTGTCTTGGGACGAGCAGGTTGGAAATAGCCTGTGGATTCTTCCAGAACCTTGGTGGATAAATGCGTGCCCATCGGTCTTTTCCAGGAAGACAGCGACCCTCCGATCAGCGAGAGCTTGAGCATAGAGAACACGCTCTGGGCCGGCACTGTCATCGCGTCGGGTAAGGGCGCCCTTTCTGGGGAATGTGTTAGCAATTTGAAAAGCAAAGAAAATCCTCTTGTGTAATTAGAATAATCATCTGTCAGTGGGGAAAATTAGCCGGCGGTCACATGGTATTTTCCACTTGCTGCTGCCCCTCCAGGGAGTCTCGCTGACATCTGATTGCCCCTCAGACGGTTGTGGACACCTCTGAGAGAAGCTGTTGTGGCCCGCGCTCTTTTCGGCAGCATCCACTCCGGGAATAGCCCTTAATTGCCACCTGAGATTGACGTTCTAATCTCTCCCAGAAACTGGGCCAGCCTGGATGTGCTGGCCGGAGGTCGTGTCTGGGGGGGCTGCTGAGCTCATCCTGCCAGTCCTAGGCGGTCCCTCCCCCAAGCACAGGAAAGGGCCACGGGCCTGAGTTGGAAACACCAAGATGATGTGGAAATCGGTGTCTTTTAGTTTTGGAACACTGGGGAGAGACTGAGCAGAAGCGGTTCCAGGGGCCGAGCAGTGTCTACAGTCATGGTGGTTGGTGGCAGTTGGGGGCCACGGATCTGTCCGGCACCTTGGGGAGGCCTTTACATGCATTACCCATTGCACTGACCCCTCCCATCGTTCCTGTGAGGGGAGGTGCCGGTATTATCCCATTCTGCACATGAGGAAACCGAGGCTCTGTGAGGCTAAGGAACTTGCCCAAGGACACAGAGGTAAAAGGCAAAGTTGGGACTTGAACCCAGGCACTTTGTTGCAGAAGCAGAACATATTGTGCAGTTCTTGTTACTTTGTTACATTACATATATGAGGTAATAGTATATACTATTATTAATATATAATTTTACCATTGCCAACTTCCTGTCTCTACTGTTGGAGGTCGGCTTTCTCCCTCTCAAGCACCTCTTCCTCCTACCAACCCGTTTTCTTCTGCTTGATGCTGCTTTGTGGCTCTTTAGTATAATTTAGGTGCTCAGTCAGGATATTCTGTGGCTAAGGAAGGGAATGACCAGCACAGACCAGCACAAACTAAACGCGGGGCCGCCTTGTTCACCATCCACAGATGAACCCCGTAATGCACATAGAGATGAGCACTCCTTTTACGTCTTCTGCCATTTTTCCTTTTCCACTCCCTGCCTGTATTTGCTTCCTAATGTGGAATGCCTCTCAATTCCTCTTGCTGGCTAGAGAAGAGAAATGGGTCCTTAAAGCTCTGCACGGGCCAGGAGGAACTGCCTGCCGCGCCCACAAACCCCACCCACAAGCCACGCCCACACCATTGGCCACACCCACCAGCCCCTGCTGCAGCCCTTCCTCTCCAGCCTCTCCCCTGCCACAGGTCCACCCACATCTCTCAGAACTGGTTACTCTTCCTTCCCAGTTTTCCTCCCCTTTGAAGGCATTTATTAACAAGTAGCTATTCCTTTTAATCTTTAATAATTTGGCAGAAAAATAAGGAGTGTGTTTTAATTTGCATTTCCTGGATTGCCTGGAAGGTTGGCTTTCCTTGTGGTCTGTGTGGTCTCTACCTTTCTCCCTTACTTTTTGTGCCCGCTAGCTGTTTCTTCTCTTTCTCTTACTCGTTTGTGAGAGTTCCCCATTTCTGGTTTTTGGAAAGATTTTGTGGCGTATTTGATATGCAAGAGTTTCATAGTGTTATACTGTTCTTGTCTGTGATAGAGGTTCTCTTGTTATTGTTTTGTTTATTTCATTGAGAATATAGGAACCTCTTTCTACACATAAGACAGTTCTTAATGTTTTGGTTGATCTACTTTCTGTTTCTTCATATTGACTTGTGAGCGTGCTTCCTAGCAAAGACAATATCAAACTCATCTCGTATGTGATGCAAATCTCTTTTCAACGTTTATTGTTTGGCTTTTGCTTTTGTCTTTGATGTGCTTTGTTTGTTTTTTCCAGAGAGAAGTTCTAAATATTGATGTTATCCACATTTCCATAGAAACGGGAATCCTAGAGTAAAGGGCAGATACGTTTTACGTTGAGCGAGAGAATCCCAAGCAGACTCTGCACTGAACACAGAGCTGGTCTTGGGGCTCCATCTCACAACTTTGAGATCATGACCCGAGCTGAAATCAAGAGTCAGATACTAGGGGTGCCTGGGTGGCTCAGTGGATTAAAGCCTCTGCCTTTGGCTCAGGTCATGATCCCAGGGTCCTGAGATTGAGCCCCACATCGGGCTCCTTGCTCAGCAGGGAGCCTGCTTCTCTCTCTGCTTCTGCCTGCTGCTCTGCCTGCTTGTGTTCTCTCTCTCTCTCTCTCTCTCTCTCTCTCTGACCAATAAATAAATAAATAAATAAATAAATAAATAAATAAATAAAAAGAGTCAGATACTAGCTGACTGCACTGCTCAGGCGTCCCAAAAATAAAATCTGAAAAAACAAAAAAGTTATTTGTGAAGTTGGATTTTTAAAAGTGTTTTATTTTCATTTGCATTTTTTCCATTTGCATTTTTAAAATGTATGTATGATTTGCCAGTTTATGGCCAATGCCCATTTTTTTCTATTGATGGATTCCTTTAGAAATTGATTCCTGGGGCACCTGGGTGGCTCAATCGGTGAAGTGTCTGCCTTCCACTCACGTCATGATCTCAGGGTCCTGAGATCGAATCCCGTACAGGGCTCCTGGCTTAGTGGGGAGTCCGTGTCTCCCTTTGCCCCTTCTCCTTGTTCATGCGCGTGCTCTCTCTCTCTCTCAAATAAATAAATCTTAAAAGAATTAAAAAAAAAATGATTTCCAAGGACTCTTTATAGGCTAAGAATATTATCCTTTTGCTTTTTACCTTAACTGCAATTACTGTCTCCCAGTTGGTCTCATTTGTATTTTGGCACAAAAATTTAAAATTTTTATACCCTCAAACCTATTGATTTTTTTTTTCTTTATGGTTTCTGGTTTTTCTGACATGCTGAGAAAATCTTACCTGCTTTAAAATGAGACAAATACACTGATGTTTTCTTGGAGTGTTTATACAGTTTCAGATTAAAATATTTGAATGTATGGAGTGAAGTTAGGAAACCTTACTGGCAGAAGGGCCTTACTTGGGCTCCAGCCAGAAGCTCTAGACCCTTGTGCCCAGTCTGTGCGTGTGGCCCTGTGTCGAGACCGCCCCTGGGGACTGGACGTGTGTGAAAGGAGAGAGCGCACAGTTTGGGATGGAGAACAGCGGGTGGAATGGGGGTGTGAGTGGAGATCAGATATGAGGGGGTAGAACTCCGGAGTTATGCTGTGTCCAGTGCCGGCAGAGCTGGGGGCACAGGGGCGCCTGGGATGTGGGCATCTGCTTGCCAGGCAGTAAGTCCAGTGGTCCGCACATCATTCCTTGCAGGCGGGTGTCCTTCTCCTTCCCTTTTACTGAAAGATAACACATATACGGACTGAATCCCAAACGTAGCGCCAGTGCTCCGATCAATAATCCAGGTTTTGTCAGCCCCCAGCAGTCCCTCCGCTGCCTTCCAGTGCCCCCACAGCGACCTTCATAAAAAGATTATTTATTGGAGAGAGAGTGAACAGAGCTAGCGAGAAGGCGGGTGATGGGGGGAGGGGCTGAGGAGGGGAGAAGCAGGCTCCCCACTGGGCAGGGAGCTGTATGTATGGGTGGGATGGGGGGCCCTCGATCTCAGGACCCCGAGATCATAACCGGAGCTGAAGGCAGATGGTTAAGTGACTGAGCCACGCCTCCCAGGCGTCCCAAGGGTAACAGCTACGTTGATTCCTCGTAGCTTTGAGTTTTTTGGTTAGCCACTTGTTTCAACAATATTAACATTTTAGTAGTAAATACATATTCACATGACTGTCTGGTTTTTATTCTGGTGATTTTCTTCTCTCCTGGCTGCTGCTTTCCATGCAGCAGAGCAAAATAAAACAAACGCATTTATTTTATTTTTTTATTTTTATTTTTATTTTATTTTATTTTCATTTTCAAAAGATTTTATTTATTTATTTGACAGAGAGAGTACAAGTAGGCAGAGCGGCAGGCAGGGGAAGAGGGAGAAGCAGGCTCTCCACGGAGCGGGGAGCCCGATGCGGGACTCAATCCCAAGACCCTGAGATCATGACCTGAGCTGAAGGCAGCTGCTTAACTGACTGAGCCACCCAGCCACCCCTATTTTTATTTTTTTGAAAAAAAAAAAAAAAAATTAAAGGATCATTTTAAGTATAATCTGCTTCCCAGTGTGAGGCTCAGGCTCACAACCCTGAGATCAAGAGTCGTAAACTCTTCATCTGGCTGAGCCAGCCAGACCCCCCAAAAACCTTTCCTGGGTGTCTCTATGGGATGCGGCCACGCTCTGTTGCTCGGTCCTGGCGCTGTGGTGGCTTGCTGGAAAATCCTCGTCTCCATCCTGGTGGTGTTTCTAGTTCACTCTAAAAGTAATACAAATGACAGAGGAGATGGGAGGAAATGGGGGTGGGTCTCTGAAATCCCTCTGAAACCAGTGTAAAGGGAAACAATTTAAGTGGCCATGTAGAGAGTTCTGAGGTGGAGGAACTTGTCAGCCTTCATCTCAGAGATGAACAGTGATGAGTCTTTTGTTTATCAGGCTCTTTTTATTTTTTTAAGATTTTATTTATTTATTTGACACAGAGAGATCACAAGTAGATGGAGAGGCAGGCAGAGAGAGAGAGAGAGAGAGAGAGAGAAGCAGGCTCCCTGCTGAGCAGAGAGCCCAATGCGGGACTCGATCCCAGGACCCTGAGATCATGACCTGAACCAAAGGCAGAGGCTTAATCCACTGAGCCACCCAGGCACCCTATCAGGCTCTTTTTATTTATGAAGCATTTTGCTGCCATTCTCTTGTTTTGGTCTCACAACATTAAAGGGGGGTTTAATGGAATGAAGAATGGAGTCTCAGAGACGTTAAGCAGCTTGTCTAAGGTCGCACAGCCTAGGAGGTCCTCTCCTGGGAGGCAGAGAGTGGAAAACAGGTTGGGAGAAGAGATTGAAGATAGGAGAAGAGATTTCAAAGTTTGTGATTGGTGATGTGGGAGGAAAGTGAGTGGTGAGAGCAGTGACCCAGTGGTATTACCTGCTGAGCCCTTCCGCGGGCATGGGTTTCGGAGTCCGAGACACTGGACACATACCATTTCCTTACGTGGCCTCAGTTTCCCCTGCTTCTCAGTGAGTAATCCTCTGACTGCATTCTGATTCTGACGCGAGCCTGGTTATATGCAAGCCATTTCCTTCTGGTGCACCCCGTCGAGAAACCGCCATCGTTAGTCATCTTGATTCTGTGAGATTTCACTTCTCAGTTCTCTTTAGAAGCGAAGTCCTATGTTCCGGTCACTCTGCTGTTACCACTTGAAAGTCTGAAAGAATGAGAAAGCTTGCCAGACAGTGCTTAGGGCCCAGCTGCCTCTGCTGGCCTCAACCTGGAGAGGACGCAATCACCATGGCAACCCAACCCTTTGCTGCTGGGCTGGGGAGTCACTGGGCTGCGAGAGGGAAGGGATGGGCCGTGGCCCGGGGGCTGTGGAGCCTGGTTCTTCTCAGGCTCTCCAGTTGCTTGTGTGGCTGCCTCCCCCGGCTCCGGTCCGCAGCCCATCAGTCCGTGGCCCTTGTACAGCCTGCAGGCAGTCGTGCCTGTGCACATGGGCACGTGAGCTAGAGTGTGTCCAGCTGGTCTGGACCCTGTCCAGCGGCACTGGTCCTGCGCTCGCACGCTTGAATGTCGCAGCGGTATCTGACTGCTGTGAACCTTTCCGAAAGCTCACTCTCAGGGGTAGCATTTATCTTGCTGCAGACAGGGACAGAGGGGTCACAGAGTAGGCCCTGACCCCGGGACCGGGCTGTCGTGGAGTTAGGAAGAAGTTGGTGTGACACCCGACCACAGCAGTGTGACTTGGAGAAACCAGCTGGCTGAGTGGAGAGGATTCTGCACTCTGCCCACTGTGGAGGGCGAGGGGGGAACAGCGGCACCGATGGCACAGGACACGGGGGGGCAGAGAGGCTTGGGTCAGGAGGTCTTGAAGGGGTGGCTTGGGCCACGTGGGGGTCAGGATGAGCTGAGAGCCTGCCCCCGGATAAAGGGAGTGCCCGTGCTTGACACCTGCTGGGACTACAGACCCAGTGTCTCCAGATCTTCTGAGTTTGCAGGAGGAGCCAGAATTCTCAATTTTTTATATGAAAGTTCCTGTATTTAAAAGATGGTGATGAATTCAAAACCTTGAAAGCCCAGTATAGACCAAACCAGTGCACGTGTGTGGTTTCCCTCTGGGCGACTGTGGCTGGCGTTTGGATCTTATGGAAGGGGTTTTGGCCTTGAGCAGAGGCAGGCGCCGGGGAGAAGGGCCATTTTCATTTCAGCCTTGGCAAGCATCAAGGTTGGCTGGCGCCAGTGCAGGACCTGTTCAGAGGTCCTTGTCATTAGGACCCTCTTGAACCCTCAATCGTGGGGACGGACACCCACCACATCTTTGCAGGAATGAGTGCAGTGGCTGCGTGGCCACCTCTGGTTTGACTATCTGCTGTGGCCGCAGGCCTGCGTTCACTGGAGCCGCCATCTGCCAGGGGGCCAGCAAGTGAGCTCTGCCCGGCCCGCCATCTGCTGAGCTTTCTTGGAAGGGAACCGCATTGCGTGCATTAAGCTTGGAGGGGGGACCTCTGTGTGTCCTCCCGGGGTTTTGTTGGGGAGACGTAGTCCCAGCGCGTCTTCTGGGCTGGGGCTCCTTGACCAGCTCTGTTTGACACTCTCTGAGGTTTTGGCATCTCCCTCTGAGAGAGGAGAGTGGAGGTGGTTCTCGTTCCCAGCAGAGGCCAGCTTGCTTGTGTTCCTGGCCGCCTCCCTGAGAGCGTGGCGGGGCTGGCCCCTTCTCAGGGTTCAGGCTCCTGTTCAGGCGTCCTCATCTCAGAGGCTGCTTCTCTGACTACCCAGTACCAACCAGCAGGCTTCTCCGGCTCCTTCCAGTCTGCTCCTCCGCCTGATTTTCATGACGGCACCTGCCCCCGTCCGTGATTACCTGTTTCTCGTTTCCTCCTTCGTTGTCAGTCTTCCCCACTGTGTTGAACATTTCCATGGCATACACTGAGGAGGGGAGACAGGTAGATTGTTAATAGATATGACCAGTTTCACCCCAAAATAGATTGTTCCCATTTATATTCCAGCCGATAGCGTGTTATGACAGGGCCCATTTGGCAGAGACACTGGGTGATATCAGTCTGCGGAATTTTTGTTGTTGCAGTAGTGATAAAAGTGGCTTATTTTGCATTTCTTTGATTACTCACAAAGTTGAGCATCTTTTCTAATGTTAACTGGCCTTTTGTGTTTCTTCTGTAAGTTGTTGACTTTTAGAAAGATTGATAAACGGGGTGGGGGGGCACGTGAGAGGGGGTGGGGAAGTTCTCAGGAAAGATGGGTCATCTGGCCCGTGTTCTAGTCGCACACAGAATCTAAAGGAGTCAGACTCAGCGGGAAGAAGGCTCTAATGAGCGTGTTTGTAAGTTCTCATAGTGTCTGAATATAGGAATGTCCTATAAGCGCCTCTGGAAGCCTCTGAGGGCGGTGGCGTGAAGGGCAGACCCCCCCCGTCAGGTCCCCAGGGGACCCCACAGACCCGCACTGAGCAGTTGACCTTTCCGCAACAGGAACAGCGCTCTGTGTCTTCACCGTGACCGCCGAGTGCTCGAAACTGTGGCGGACGCAGAGGGAAGACGGGGAACTGGGCGTATTAATTTCTGTTGAACTTAAATCGAAACAGCTGCCTGTGGCGAGGAGCAGCGGTGCTGGTCCTCGTGGCCCCGGATACCGTCGGTGTTCATGTCTCTGTGCTGTGCTTTTCTCGCGTTAGGTACTGTCGTGGGTGTTGTTCTTTACACGGGCAGAGAACTCCGGAGTGTCATGAACACCTCAAATCCTCGAAGTAAGGTGAGCTTGATGTTTGTTTGTTTTAAAGATTTTATTTATTTATTTGACAGAGAGAGCGTGGGATGGGGGAGGGTCAGAGGGAGAAGCAGACTCCCCACTGAGCAGGGAGCCCGATGCGGGACTCGATCCCGGGACTCCAGGATCATGACCTGAATCGAAAGCAGTTGCTTAACCGACTGAGCCACCCAGGCCCCCAGAGGAGCTGGATTTAAAGACAGGAACACCTCACAGTGTTATTTCATTCATGTAGACGTACTGTCTTCTCATGTGTCTGTGCACGTGTGCGTGTGCGCACACGCGTCCGTATAACACAGGAGCATGCGTTCCTGTGTATTTGTGGGAATTCATAAAATTTTTAAAGCTTTCAAGTTCAAACTGTTGAGCACTTCCTATGTGCCCTGCATGGTGCCCCATCTTTCACAGGCGCCCCTCCCCCGTTTAATCCCCAACACCCCCACCCCAGCCAGGGAGCCTGGGCGCTTCCTTGGGCTCATGAGCTGAGCAGTGGCCATGAGAAGCCCCATGTCCTCACGCTGCCCGGCAGGGAATGGGCGGGTTCAGATCCACCCCACAGAGGACACTGGCTGTGGCGTGGTGAGCGGGGTCTGCTCTGTGGCCTCCAGGTGGGTCCCGTTCTCACTCATTTCACACCACAACCCACCCTCCCAGCCCCACCCCTCCCCCACAGTTCAAGACTTAGCCAGAAACTGTACAATGACTTCCTCTGTCAACACCGTGAACAAGTGCGGTTTCCAGACCTCTGGTCATTGCCTCTGCATCGTCACGACCGTCTTTACAACCAGAAGGCCATTTATTCGATGCTTTAGCCTTGTGCTGGGCCACGATTCTGTGAAGTTACAGCTTTGGCCTGCTGGTTCCGTTTTTTTTTTCTTTTCTTTTTTTGCAGACACGTTAAAGTAAATCTGTCATTATTCAAATCATCGCGCTCATGAGTGTGGTTCTTAGCCATCAGGTCCCACCTGTGTGTGTGCCCTGAGCTGTCAGGCAGCCCCGAATCCATGTGTGGGGCAGTTCCAGGAGTGGGGGACCGAGCCCATTTTATAGGCCATGGCGTACGTCACCCCACACGTAGCCCCCAATGCACCGTGACCTGTTTATGTGTTTCCAAGTCTAAGTTTTCTTGTTTGTTTTGTTTGTTTGTTTTTTATTTTATTTGTTAAAGATTTTTCTTATTTATTTGAGAGAGAGAAAGGGGGCATGAGTTGAGGGGGTGGGGTGCGGGGGTGGAGGTAGAGGGAGAAGCAGACCCTCCACTGAGCAGGGAGCCTGACACTGGGCTTGATCCCCAGACCCTGAGATCATGACTGAGCCGAAGGCAGACGCTTCACTGACTGAGCCACCCAGTGCCCCTAAGTCTTCTTGATTGTTAAAAAAAATTAACGCAGTCAGAAATCCTTGAGGCCCCTTGGATGTGTGTTAGGAAGCCCAGCCCCTGGAGCCCAGTATTCTGAACCAAAGACGTAGGGACTGAAGGGTCCCACTGTCTCTCGCCTGGGGCACAGGTGCTCCTGGAGAAGGACCAGTTCTCCAACTGGGCTCCGGGTGCACCGACTAAGCACAGGCTCCCCCTGCTGCTCCGTCCCACAGATCGGCCTGTTTGACCTGGAGGTGAACTGCCTGACCAAGATCCTCTTCGGCGCTCTGGTGGTGGTGTCGCTGGTCATGGTGGCCCTTCAGCACTTTGCCGGGCGCTGGTACCTCCAGATCATCCGCTTCCTCCTGCTGTTCTCCAACATCATCCCCATCAGGTGAGCAGAAAAGGAGCCAGGCCGTTGTCCTCTTTTTCGCTCGTGGTCCCCTTGGAGACGACGATGGGGCGCAGTTGGGAATGTGAGTCCTGTTCTGGGCCCCAGCAGGGGAAGGGCGGTTCCTCCTTGAACCAGCCTTTCTTGAATCAGTCTTTGCTCAGAAGCCCTTGCCCTGCCTGCCCTGTGCCGGGGATGCCGCTTAGCGCCCGTCTCGTGGGCCGGCTCTGGAGCTTGGTGCTGGCCGCTGGGGGTGCTCTGTTGAGACGGATCCTGGGCTCGAGTCCACACTCAGAGGGAAATACTGGGACTAATGAGCATTCGTGACACAGGCCAGCCTCTGGCTTGCCTTCCTTGGAGGCTGAATAAATGCTCTTAGAAGATAGTACAAGGAATTGTCGTAGTAGGAGAAAACAAAGATTCACAGTGACCAGAGAATAAGATCAAAATCACCTCTAATCTCACAACTAAGTGATAGGTGCTCTTAATATTTTGACATATATATCTTTCTAGCCTCTTTTCTATTTTAAAGGGAGATTCTACCTTTTTTTTTTTTTTTTTTTTCTTAGAGCAATGTATTGTAAGTAACTTTGGACATCAGATATACTGGTGACTGGTACCCCGATGTGTTTTAGAACAGCCCTATTATATATTCTAGGTTTAACTGTTTAGCTCTGTATTTTTGGGGACTCGTTTCAACTGTCCCCCATAATTGATGTTTAGTAAATATTATTAAAATAAATCATTTTTCCCCCCAAAACTTCTAGTGCTTCTAATATTAAACTTGGTATTTTGCCTTGTAATTTGTCTTGCTCTTTTGGGTGTTTATGTCATCCCAGCTAGAATTCATGTTTTCCTGAGGATAGGGATTGTAGTTTTGGTACCACAGTGTTCCTAGAACAGGGGCATTGGACCCCTCGCCAGTGTGGTCTGGATCTTGGTTTCAAAGAATAAGTACATCTGCTCTATCACCAGCAAAAAAAGTGTGAGGTAACGTTAAGTGACGTTGTAATCTTTAAAGCTCTGTCTACTGCGTGATTGAAAATTAGTGAGTTGACTCTTTCTACAGCCAATGACTAGCCAGGAAAATAGTGGGCAGTTTGGTTAATTTATAGGAGTATGAATGAATGTGACAATTTCTTTTTATTTTATTTTTTACAATAACATAATATCTCAAGATGAATAGAGTACATATAATGGTATATTATTCAGCCTTAAAAAGGGATGAAATTCAGACACACAGTACAACGTCCCTGAAGACATTATGCTGAGTTACATCAGCTGGTCCCAGAAGGTCACATGCTGTATGAGTCTTCTCGTGTGAGGTCCCCAGAGCAGTCAAGTTCAGAGAGACAGAAAGGAGAGTGGTGGGTGCCAGAGATTGGAGTAAGGGGAAAGTGGGGAGTTGTTTCATAGGCATGGGATTTCAGTTGAGGAAGATAGAATATTCTGGAGAGGGATGGTGGTGATAGTTGCACAACAGTGTGATTAAACTTAATACCACTGAGCTGCACGCTTAATGGTTTCTCTCTCTCTTTTTAGAGATTTATTTAATTGAGAGAGAAAAAGCCTGTGGGGTGGGGAGAAGGGGGAGGAGGAGGAGCAGACTCGCTGCTGATCTGATACGGTTTTTTTTTTTTCTAAGATTTCAATTATTTATTTGACAGAGAGACATAGCTAGAGAGAGGGAGCACAAGCAGGGGAGTGGGAGAAGCAGGCTCCCCACTGAGCAGAGAGCCCAATTTGGGGCTCAATCCCAGGATCCTGGGACCATGACCCGAGCTGAAGGCAGATGCTTAACCCACTGAGCCACCCACACACCCCGCTTTTCAGTATTTTAAAAGCATTTTAAACTTTCATTGTTTTATTTTAGTCCAAAATAACTTTGTGGTAGTGGTGATTTTTTTTCTGTGAGGTAAGCTGAGAGATGACTTGCGGACTCTGTGGCTCCCGCCGCAAGGCTGTGCTGCCCCGGGGAGGCCCCACTGATGGGGTTTAGAGTCGTTTAGGGTCCTCGCCGTCTGCAGATAGAGACACAGGGAGCCTCACGGACATCCTATTAACCTGTTTGCTCTGCTTTTCGGACTAGCCTGCGTGTGAACCTGGACATGGGCAAGATTGTGTACAGCTGGGTGATCCGGAGGGACTCGAAAATCCCCGGGACGGTGGTTCGTTCCAGCACCATCCCTGAGCAGCTGGGCAGGATTTCTTACTTACTCACGGACAAGACAGGTGAGCTGTTACCTGGAGCTTCCTGGGCTTCCCAGTGAGAGGAGGCGCTTGCATTCTCTTCCTGGAGATGTTAGAGATGGATGCTTGCTGCTGTTTTATTCTCTTCAGCTACTGAGGAATGTTGATTTTTTTTGTGACGATGCTGGTGACAGTTGTCCTCACTGTCAAGCAGCAAAGCCTTACCCGGTGCTAATTAGGCTCAGAGCACTTCTCGGGGTGCTCACAGAGGGTGGTCTAGTGAATCCTCAACCTCATCTTGTGAGGGCGGCATTTTTAGCCCCATTTTACAGATGAGGAAATGAGGCACGGGGAGGTTGACTGCCGTGTCAGAAGCATAGGGTGACCGAGCAGGCTTCGAGTCCTCATCGCTGCACCCCAGAACACTGCCCTGCAATTTGCTTTCAGAGTGGCTAAGAGCAAGGACGGGGAGTGGGGACACCTGGGTTGAGCTTCCTCTCTACCACTTAGTGACCGTGGGACAAAAGCGAGTCTGTTGCAAAGATCTGGGGTGGCTCACCCCATCAGAGAAAAATGAGGTTTCAGGAAGGAACAGAACCAGAAAATTTCTGGATATGTCTGCTTCAGAGCCCCTGGGGTAGCCGCTGTAGGACTCCCTCAGTGGGGTGAACCTGACTCTGTCCGTCTTCTGTCCGTATATCCGTCTGCCCAGGGTTCAGATCCCTTCTGGACAGAATCCAGTGTAAGTCCTGTGCCACCGTCTGGGCTGCTGGAATGAGTCAGCCGCCCTGCCTGACCCTCCCTCTAGACCATCCCAGGGAATGAGGGTGATGGTTCCCCCTGTGGAAATCCAGGAAGCTACTTTCAAAAGAAAAGGAGTTCGATTCTGGACAGACCAGATAAACAGCGCAGACATCTCCCGAGCAGGGGCAGTGCCGAAACCAGGGCAGGGCGTAGAGTAGTAAACGCTCAGAAAACGACAGCTGTCCCTCCTGTTCCTCGAAGCCCCAGGAGGTGGGCGGGGCTCCTCATGTGTCTTGTGTTGCAGGAACTCTCACCCAGAACGAGATGGTTTTCAAACGGCTGCACCTGGGCACCGTGGCCTATAGCCTTGACTCCATGGATGAAGTTCAGAGCCACATTTTTAGTGTTTATACCCAGGTAACGCCTTCTGCTTTGATACTGGAAACAATTCTTTTGCACTTACTGACGCCTGTATTGAAATAGGATTCCTGATACTGTCCCATTCACCCAGCTAACGAGTACTGTCCAATGGTTCTTGGTGTATTCCCAGAGTTGTGTAACTATCACCGCTATCAGTTTTGTCTCATCCCCCCCAAAAGAGACCCCTGTCCCCAGTAGCCATTATTCCCTGTCCCTCCCCCACCACCTCTCCTTCCAAATCCAGGGCAACCATCAGTCCTTTATGTTTTGAATAAAATCACTCTTGAAATCACCTCTCCCCCTCCCCTGTGCCATCTTTCTCATTTCCAGAGTTACCCTGCTCTACTGAAATGCTTATGGATACTGGGAAAAACCTAAGAGAGACTTGTCTGCCAGTGACTAATGCCAGAAATAGCTTTGGGCACCTACGGGTCACTTTTACTTCCTTTCCCTGGTCAGGAGCCAAAGCAGCAGGCATGACTGATCTGCTCAGGAAAAACCGTCGTCACCGGTGGGCTTCAGTTTCCCGTCCGGGTCAACTCTGTGACCACACGGAAGGGGTTAATTTATTGGAGGTGGCCTGCAGCTTCTCTGCTCCCGCATTTGTTTCCACGAGGTTTTTCAAAACTAGTCCTTTTTCAGAGAAAGGTATTACTGGAAAGCGTCCTCATATTCCTAAAAAGTTATACCTGTGGGTGGGCGTGCGTGCGCCTTGGGTATACGACCTTGGCTACTCAGAATCGCTAGTGATGTTTTAAGAACAAAAACAAAAGGAAGGACGTTGACTTGGGCCTCATACGTGAGGGATTCTAACTCACTGTGATTAGGGCAGGGCTGGGCTGCTGTGTCTCAGAGGTAAGATGACACACGGGCAAACCCTTGGTAATTCTGAGACGCATCAGGGCTGACGGGCCAGCTGTGCATGGTGGCACTTGTCTGGACATGAGAATAGAGAGGCCACGTTTTGCTTAAATTTGTCAAAATAGATAATAATTTTGTTGTCAGAAGGCCAGTTAGAAATGTGAAGGGAGTATTTCCCAATACGGGGTAGAGGTAGAACTCCTGAATGCTTTGTGCCATGGTTACATGGGACGTTGTTTTCCGGAACATTCACTGGTAGGCACGCCTGGATTTCTAGGGTTATTTCCTGAGAATGGCAGAGCAGGGGATACAGTTTGGAAGTTGGAGTGAATTTTAAACAGAGGACAGTTAATTTGATCCGCGTAAGTGAAACACCTGTAATTCTTCTAGGCTGCCTGTGTGGGCATTTGTGGCTTGTCTCCAGATGGATCCCTGGACTAGTTTCAAAGATGGACTCTAGGACTCTTAAAAACTCATGAGGACTTAGTTGGATGGGATGGAAAAGCCACGTCCAGCCCCCTGTCCCTCTCTCTTGTCCCATCTCCCTCTGTGGCGTTGGTGGTCTGTAGCTCTGTACTGGCCCCCATGTGTCACTCTCCAGATGGTCCCTCCTCCTCCTCCTTCCATCGCCCCCGCAGGTGCTAATGACCCCTGTCTCTGTCTGCGGCCCCACCTGGAGCTCTAGACTTGAGACACTAGCGTGCTTGGCATGGCTGCTTACGGAGCCTAAGGACAGAGTCCCTATAGTCCTGACTTCCTTCCCATATTCCCACACCCCTGCTTCTTTTCCAGAGGTTCTTGTCCTAGGGAGTGCTACCTCTGCCTACTGCACTGCTCTCTCCCAGGATCTGAGAAATGCCCCTTCCTTCCCCATCCCTACCTGCCTTCAGCCATCAGTCCCAGGCCCTTTGGTGAAGTCTTTTCCCACCTGATCATGTGTTTGGCCTTTTGTCTTCATCTCTTGTCACCTGCTAGGCCAAACCTGCTCTCTCCCCTGCCTGGCTATCCGCACACATCCCCCTGCCCCACACAGTCTCCCTGCTGCTCCTCTTGAACCCCTCCCAGAAGCACGGGGTGCCCCTTGTTCTGTTAACTCCGTCTTGGGGCTGAGACCTCCGTGTGCTCCAGGCATGGCCTGCGTCCCCACCCCTCCCTCCTGGCGTTCACCCTCTCCTACGCTTACTCCTTTGGCATGGGGGGCAGGGGGGGCTGCCTTGTTTCTGTGTCTTGGAACAGACTCTCCCCTCTGAACCGTTGAACCCACATGCCTTCCGGGCCCCACCCGAGGGGGTCCACTGTGTGGGTGGTCACGCTCACCAGCGCCTGGCTGAACCCCCCTTCCTCCAGCCCTCTCCTTGGCACTGCAGGCCGACTGGTGATTGTACCAGACAACTTCCTGGTCGTGGTGCCGCCCCCCGCCCCTGGGCAGGAGACACCCCTTTGCCTACTGGGGTGGGATTTTTAAGAGCTTGTGATATTTACAGAAACCATCCCTTCTCAGGGTATTTGCATAGTTCAGCTTTTATGGTCCGTTTTTGCTTCAGCACAGATAAACACACTTCATAAAGTGTTAAAAGTCCCAGAAAGACATTTCTTACCGTGAGCACTACCCCAGCCCCCTGGCTTAGCGGAAGCTCATAAATTCACTTACCCACCCTGGCCTTGGAGTTAAAATCGCTGAGTGTTACAGGTCAGGTCGTCTGGAGGCTGGCGTGAGCTCAGAGTTACAGTACCCGCTCACCCCGCGAGGTGTGTGCGTTCTCCCACACCATCCAAAGACCCTGCTGTGAACACGGGAATACTTTCGTGATGAGGCTTTCAAGGGCTCTTCCAGGTTTTTAAAACAGCTTTATGGATGTGTAGTTGATCTACCATAAAATGCGGCTCTGTTAAGTGTTCAAGTCAGTGACTTTTTTTTTTTTTTTTTAAGTAAATTTACAGAGCTGTGGAACCAGTGCCACAACCCCGGAAAGATCCCCTGAGCTCCCCACAGTCATTGACTTGACTTTAGAGTTTAATAATGGGATTTTAGGCCAGCATTTCATGAAGTCCACCGTCTGAAACTCCTGGGGCAGATCCCTTGGGATGGTCGGACCCTCTAGACCTACAGTTCTAACCAGTGAACCGGGTGATTCTGAAGTACAGTAGCATTTGAAAGGCTCCCGTGAACCTGAGGCTTGCTCTGTTTTCCAGAAAACCAGTGTCTCAATCTGCGGACTCCACAGCAGGGTTTGCAAGGTGACCCGTTGGAGAGACGGAAGAAGAGATTTAGGGCGTCTCTTTGCTCTGCATTTGTATTTTCAAACTTAAAGCAAAATTTAAATCTTAATTTTCGAGAGCATTGAGATCAAGCCAGGGACCCTCGGTCCATCCGTATGTCCGACGAGCGTCTGTCCAGTCCGGTCCTTGAGGTGTCCTGTGGGAAGAGTGGCAGGAGTCAAGAGTTCTGTGGGGGTTTATTTTTAGGACGTGGAAATGTAGATCGCAGGTGATGAGTGTCCGTGTGACCTGTTTGACGGATTTCATTTCACTAAATTAACCTCATAAAGAGGGGGCTTTAAAAGATTTCTGCAGGGAGACTGCTGACTATTAATAAAAACCTAAATAAACTGTAAATGTCCAACACATTTTGAGGAAAAACCATGACAGGCTGAGGAGATAGCATGATTTTTTCCTTTGGCTTCTTTATTTACTAGTACATTTAAAAAAAATTGAGCTACAGAGGTGTCTGGGTGGTGCCGTCAGTTAAGAATCCAACTTTTCATTTCGGCTTGGGTTGTGATCTCGGGGTCATGGATTGAGCCCCACGTTGAGTCCTGCGTGGGGCTGCACACTCAGCACAGAGTCCGCTGAAATTTCTCTCTCCCTCTGTCCCTCCCTCCTGCGCATGGCTTTGCTCTCAAATCAATAAATAAATCTAAAAAAAAAAATTTTTTTAAAAAGATTTTATTTATTTGACAGAGATCACAAGCAGAGAGAGAGAGAGGAGAAAGCAGGCTCCCCGCAGAGCAGAGAGCCTGATGTGGGGCTCGATCCCAGGACTCTGGGATCATGACCTGAGCCGAAGGCAGAGGCTTATCCCACAAAGCCACCCAGGCGCCTCTAAAAATTTTTTTCTTAAATTGAGATATAATTGTCATGCGAGCTGTGCTGGGCCTCCCAGTGTTCAGAAGCGTCCTTGCCTTCTACCTTCTGGATGCCTGAGGTGCCCCCTCCCTCGGTTATGATAACCAGAAATATCTCTGGACACCGCCTGATGGGGGGGCGAAACCCTGGGTTATATGGGGTTCATTTTCTGCAGACTGAAAAGTGTGGCCTTTGCCGTGCTTGTGATGTCTGTGAAGTAGTCAACATTGAGTTTATTCAATCACGTAATCATCCCGTAGCTCAGCTGACTCATTTGGAAGTAGAGGCTCGCAGCCCGAGTCTGGGGGTGGGGGGTGACCTGTGCGGGTAACGAGCTATGAGCTTTGAGCCTTCTTTGGGGGGCGAAGTGGGGCTTCCACGACCGTTCTTCCTCTTTGATGGAACCGCATTTTTACCAGTTGCAACCCGTCCCCAGGGTCCGTTATTACGAACACTCCTACGTGGAGACGTTTTAATTGCATTTAGGAAGAAAACAGGTATTTGTGGGGGATGGACCTTTAATTTCGGTATTTGTCGTCCCTCTGACACAGACCGGCATTCTTGCTGGGAGGGGCTGCTGCCGTGGATCGCCAGCGAGAGGGGGAGGCCCAGTGTTCGTTTTCAGCCGTGTGTCTCACGTGTCGTCTGGGACGTGCAGAATGACCTTGAAGCGGTGTATGGTGTGAGGTAGCCACGTGAGGGCCCTCGTCAGGGGCTTTTGTCCGTGGAGGCCTTGATTTCCTCTCCCAGCTTCTGACCTCGTGTGGGCCTGTTGGGTCCCCCCTCGACAAGGGGACCCGTGGTTTCTCCCCCGGGGCAGAAGGAGTTGGAGCCCCACCTCTGTGGGTACCACATCTGGTTTTGTTTTCCCCCGGTATTTTTTAAGTAAGGAGAAATGTGTGTAGGTTCAAGGCCTATGGGGAGGAGGCCACAGATAAACACGGTACAATGTGAAACTCTTCCATATGGGGAATGCGAGGATGTTTGAAGACTGGGCCCTCCTCTTGACGCGGGCCGAGCCTCTGGTGATCACCAGCACGTTCAAGGTGCATGTGGACAGCCCTTCGGTGGGTGGATGAGCCTTTCCTTTGAGAATTAAGAGACCATTTCAGAATCCATGGTTTTATTCCTCCTCCCTGAAACGTCTTTGGTTGGAAAGGGGGATAAGTGTTAATTTGAGGGAGAAAATAAATGAACTTGGAGACACGACACCCGAGGCCTGCGGTGTTGGTTGGGGTTAATCACCCCTGTCTTCTGATTGGATGTCGGCTGGTTCCCTGGTCTGGGAGCGAGGACTTTGCAAAAAATCCAGGGCTCCTGTGTTTCTCTCTTTGCCTTGCTCTCAGCTGGTTTCACCTGGAATGCAAAGCCCCAGAGCTCGGTGCTGTCCCTCATTTGAAATACTAGCGGGAGTATTTCTGGAGACGTGAGTTCAGATGGCTTATACAGTTCAGAGATTTGGAGAGGATGCCCTTCCCTTGTCCTTTCCTTCAAACCCATTCTTACTGAAACTTGCTGGCCAAAGCAATGATGTTGTCAGAGGTCTTGTTATTGCCCCAAATGTTAAATAATAATTTGGTCCAGGTGCTGAGGCATGTGGGCGAATCGAAGACACGCAGCTGTGGCTAGATCGTAAATTACGGAGCTCATGGAGAACCCTCTGGGTGTAGTCTTTCCAGGGGAGAGAACCTTTCTGTAAATCTTCAGTCCTTGTTATAATTTTAGAGTTAAATTCTTTATAATTAAAAGCACTTGGCAAATAATGATTCATTTAAACTGTAGTTCTGATTCATTGCTCTAATTACCGTAACCATGCAGTGCCCTTTGGCCTGGAAGTGAAACTCGTGTCCTCTTGACACCAGAGGTTAACAGAGCAGGAAGCTAAAGCAGTGTGTGCGCCTGCATGACCAGAATAATTTAGTAATTGCCTAATTACCTGGGGAGGCTAATGCCACTGCTAAAAATAGTATTAAAAAAATGAAATGAAAGTCGTTTTCTTATTTCTCCTGACCCATCTGTTCTCTGTTTTGGGGCAGTCACGTGTTCGTGGGTATAAAACGCAATTCATTTTGCGGGACTGGACTGCTTCTCTTCTGTTGGATAAAATATGTTTCTAATGGCGTCCAGCACCCCAGTAAGTCCAGAGGTGTCTCTAACTTCCGGGACTCCGTTAGCTGTGGAGGAAGACCTTTGCAGGGGTTCCTTTTGTCCACAACTGTGATTTAAAACCTGGGAGGGGTGTTGGTCAGTTTGATATTTATTTCTTCCTGGAAATAGGAAAACAGTCAAGTCAGGGAAGGATGCCCCACCATCCCTTAGGAGTCCTGAGCTCTTAATTTGTTTAGCAAGTATCGACACGTGCCAGGCACTGCTCTGGGTACGAGGCCTGCAGTGATGAATAACACACACGGACAAGTTCTGTTCTCATGGCTTAATCGGAAAATCCTCAGGCGAACGAGCCTGTTTTGGACTGAACACAGCAATGCACATTGTAGTGTGGGAGCGTGACTCCCGGTGTGGGGGACTGTGAGCTGGGGGACTCGGGGAGGGCCTCTCTGAGTATGTAACATTTGAATTGAGACCTCAGGGATGAGAAGGAGTGAGCCAGCCCTGCGAGATCTGGGTAATGATGTTCCAAGCAGAGGGCAAGGCAGGTGCAAAGGCCCTGAGGTAGGAAGGAGCTTGGTGGTATTCAAAGAATAGAACGGCCAGTGTGGCTGGAGCAGAGAGGAGGAGGAGGAACACGGCATGAAGGGAGGCTGCAGAGGTGGGCAGGGGCTGGTCAGGTAGGCCGCATGGACCACAGAGGGCATCTGAGTTTTACTGAAGACTGAGTGCGAGACAGCCCCTGCAACAGAGAATTTCCTCTCCAAGGGTCAGTCATGCCAGCTTGAGAAGCCTTGGCCTCCTACGCCAGCCTCACTTGTGGTGTATGAGGCCTCCCTCTGTCAGGGGCTCCTGATCCCACCCAAAGGAGGACAGATTCATACGTTCAAGGTAGAATCACCCACATTTGCTGATTTGTAATGTTTTTTCTCTATTTTGCATTTTTTTTTTTTCCAATTATGAATGATTGGGTCCATAAAAAGGACACGCCGTATATTGTAATGTCACTGTAGACGTGTATTCATGTCTAAGGGCTGCTCCATGTGGTGGTTCTTCCACACGTTCTAGACCCTTCTGTGTCTCCAGTCATCTTCCTTGTTCCTTTCTCTTTCCTGTAGCAGTCCCAGGACCCGCCTGCTCAGAAGGGCCCCACGCTCACCACCAAGGTCCGGCGGACCATGAGCAGCCGTGTGCACGAGGCCGTGAAGGCCATCGCGCTGTGCCACAACGTGACTCCCGTGTACGAGTCCAACGGTGTGACTGACCAGGCCGAGGCCGAGAAGCAGTACGAAGACTCCTGCCGCGTGTACCAGGCGTCCAGCCCAGATGAGGTAAAGCCCAGGTGGAGATGGTCGGATGCACAGAAGAGTCTGTGCCTGTTTTCCACGTGCTGGGGCGTGGGGTTCCCCGAGGGAGCCACCTGTCCGCAGACACGAGCCGGGGGGGACTGGGCTGCTAGGGAAACACATTTTCGGATGCGTGCAGGACTTGCTTCCCTCTAGAACAAATATTCTTGGACTCCAGATATAGCCCAAATAAGCAAAGAGAAAGAGGTTTGGTTCGTGACTCAGGTGGCCAGCGTGTGGGCACAAGGCCTCACTTAAGTGGCGCCTTCCCTTTGCTAAAAAACTCCTGCACTCTGAAGCTAGAGCCCGTGTATTGTACTTACTCATTTAACACACGCAGTTCAGTGTTTCTTTCTCGTGTATTCACAGAGTTCTGCAACTGTTAGGACAATCAATTGAGAACATTTTCACCACCTAAAATGAAGTACCCCATTCCGTGTCCTCCTGGACTCCTGCCCTCCCCCCAGCCCTGGCAGCCCCCAGCCCTGCTGTCTCTCTAGACCTGCCTATTCTGGACACTTATTCTGTACTGGACATTATTCTGTACAGTATGTGACCTTTGTGTCTGGCTGTTTTCACTTAGCCTTGGTTTTCCAGATTCATCCATGCAGTGGTGTGTATCAGTCCCTTAGGCCTTTTCATGGGTGACTGATGGCCCATGGCATGGGTAATACTACATTTTGTTTATCCGTTCATCAGTTGGTGAACATTTGGAGTGTTCCTTTTTTTCTTTCCTTCTTTTGCTGTTATGGATAATGCTGTTGGGATCTTTTGTGCACAAGTTTTTGGGTGGACGTACATCTTCATGGAGTAGAACTGCTGGGTCCCACGTGAGCACCACGTTTGAGCTTCCCGAAACTACCATGCCACTCCCTAAAGTGGCTGTGTCATTTTACAGCCCGAGCCATGATGCATGTAAGGGTTCCAGTTTCCCTTCTCCTTTGCCAACAGGGTCCTTGTCAGTCCTTTGGATTCTGGCCATTCTAGTGAGTGTGAAGTGGGACCTCCCTTGTTGGTTTTCATCTGCATTTTCCTTGAAGGCTTCCGTGCTCAGCGTCTTTCCATGTGCTCACTGGCTACTTGTGTATCTTCTTCTCTCCAGTATCCTCTGCCCCCTTTTAAATATGTGTCTTTTTGTTGCTGAGTTGAAAGAGTTTTTTTTAATACATTTCAGATCAAAAGTCTCTTATGGGATACATGCTTTGCAAGTATTTTCTCCTACTAGGAAGGCTGTCTTTTTAAATTTCACAATGATGTCCTTTGAAACCCTAAAGTGTTTAGTTTTTTTTTAGTTTTTTTTTTTTTAAAGATTTTATTTATTTATTTGACAGACAGAGATCACAAGTAGGCAGAGAGGCAGGCAGAGAGAGAGGAGGAAGCAGGCTCCCCGCTGAGCAGAGAGCCCGATGGGGGGCTTGATGTGGGGCTCGATCCCAGGATACTGGGATCATGACCTGAGCCAAAGGCAGAGGCTTCAACCCACTGAGCCACCCAGGCACCCCAAGTGTTTAGTTTTAATCAAGTCCAATAAGCCACGTACTTCCAGGTTGTTGTTTCTGTGTAACACATTCTCTGGCTAGAACCAGGACTCATTTGATTCCATGTTCAAGAACCAAGGGTCTCTTAGCATGATGGTTCTTTACGGTTTTTTGTAACAGGCCCCTGATTGCTCTCCCTCCCGGGGTCTCGGGGCATCATGTGATGGGAGCGCCCTCTTCATGAAAATAGGATCTTCTTTGTCTTCCTGACTTCAGTGTGATTCAGACTCAGGGATAGTTCACCAAGCGGGTAACTTTCTGGTCTTTTTACCTTCTCCTCCTTCCCTTCCAGAAAACTTGTATTCTGATTATGAAAGCCATTACTTTTCAGTGTAGAACATTTGGACATTTCAGACAACCATAAAGAAGAACCTGGATCAGTTGCAGTCTCATTCTTGAAAGATGACAGTGGGCCCCTTTCCTTGAGCCTTTGGTGCCCATCAGATCCCGTTTGAAGTGCTTTCTGTGTAGAATCTCATCTTAATGTTTCTAGCAATGAAGGGGCCCCATTATGACCCCATTTTCAGAAGAGAAAAGTCAAAGAGGTTAAATATTTAGCCTAAAGTCACCTGGATTTTTTTTTTTTAACTTTTTGTCTTGGAAATAATTTCAGACTTAGATGTTGTAAAATTAGTACCAAGCATTACCCAGCACCAAATCGTCACTCTGATTCCTCAAATGTTACATATTTTCTACCCATGCTTTATCATTCCTCACCTTAGAAGAGTTAGCTGTGGACATGATCTTCTTTTACTTGTAAGTATTTTATTTTTTTCCCTAAAAGACAAGACATTTATCAGAAACAGGAAATTAACATTGATACAGTACTGCTCTCTATCCTGCGATGTCATCAGTTGTCCCACTGACAACTTATTTCAAACACACACACACACACACACACACACACACACACACACACACACACACGACTATTTCTCCCCCCAGATCAGAGTCCAACCCAGGAACGCATGCTATCTTCAGTTGTCACACCTTTTCTCTCTCTCTCTCTCTTTTTTATTTTTTTTAAGATTTTGTTTATTTATTAGGGAGCACGAATCAGGGGAGGGGCAGAAGGAGAAGCAGACTCCTTCTGAGCAGGGAGCCTGACTTGGGGCTCGATTCCAGGACCCTGAGATCATGAGCTGGGCTGAAGGCAAACGCCTAACCGACTGAGCCACCCAGGCACCCCTCATACCTCTTGTCTCTTAAGGTGGAATGGTTCCTCAGGTTTCCTTGACTTTCGTGGCCCCACACTTTCAAAGATAAAGGCTGTTGTAGAACGTCCCTAAGTTTTGGTTTGATGACATTTTGTCGTCAAAATTTAGTGAGGACTCAGTTTATTGCAAATTTGGCTCTGTCCTCAGTACGTGTTATAGGGAGACCTGCTGTTGGGGTGTCCTGCTCTTCAAGATACTAACTTGGTCACGTGGATCAGGTGGTGTCCCCAGGTTTCTTCATGGTAAAGTTGCCGTTCTCTCTTGCTAATTACTCTTATGATAAAGCCCCTGACTGACAGGGCCAGGGTTCGAACCCAGGGAATGTGTTGTCACAACCCAAACTCTTAGTCATTTTACTTAGTTATTTTTCAGAAACCACTAAGACCTTTTTTCCCCCTAAGATTTTATTTATTTATTTATTTATTTATTTAGAGCAAATGTGGGGAGGGGCAGAGGGAGAAAGAGAATCCCAAGCAGACTCCACACAGAGCCTGGTGTGGGCTGGATCTCATGACTATGAGACTGTGACCTGAACCAAAATCAAGAGTAGGACACTTCACTGACGGAGCCACCCAGGCGCCCACCACTAAGAACTTTTTGACATGTGGTCCTCCGATATCTTTTCATATATTTTTTTCCTAAAGAAACAGGAATTTTTAACAAAGTTTTGTATTCTCCGTTTTAAACTGGATACTTCCATCATGCCTCCTTGCCATATTTTTTTGGATATCCTTGAAAGAAAGCTTTTTATAATTACTGTTTACGTACACACGCTAATGTCTTTAACCCTTCTCCTCTTGTGGGAACTTGGGTTATCTCTCATGTTTAGCCTAACATTTATACACATTTTCTGTGAGTATCCTTACACCCGGTATTTCTAGAAATGGTGTGACTGGGCTTATTAATTCAGCAGGCATTCTGGAGTGCCTATGATGAATGGGGCACTGGGGTGGGGGGGGGGGTCAGTGTTTCACAAGACGGCAGCTCCTGTCCCCAGGGACGCGGCAGGGGTGAGACCGTTGAGCACGTGAGTCTTGGGATCCCAGCTCCACACCTGGCCGGCGCTCCTCGCTGTACCTCCGTGCCCTGTGACAAGAGGGTTGTCGTGAGCCCTTTAACGGACAGTCAGTCCTGTGGGTCACAGTGAAGGAGTGTTTCTAAGGCTCCTGGTATAAATGAACGGATAATTCCCAGAATTATTTTTATTTTTTTTAAAGTTTTTTTTTTTTTGACAGAGGGGGATCACAAAGGGGGGGGGGGGGGGGGGAAGCAGGCTCCCCGCTAAGCAGAGAGCCCGATGTGGGGCTCGATCCCAGGACCCTGAGATCATGACCTGAGCTAAAGGCAGAGGGTTTAACCCACTGAGTCACCCAGGCATGCCCAGAATTATTTTTAAACTATTTTATTTTTCCACAAATGTTACAGGGGCATCCAGCTATTTTTTGTTGTTCTTATGAAGAAGGGTGGGGGGTTCTCCAGGAAAGAGTGCTGGAAAGGTCTGGACTAATCAGAGAATATTAAGAAGCCAGAGCTGAATGGTGGTTCGGGGAGTACTGTAATGATAACCTTTTCCAAAGTTCAGAAAGGGAAGGACATTTGGACGTGGCTTTCCCTGACCAGTACCTTCTTTATCCTTCTTGGGGGCCCTGGAACGTGGCTCTGAGGAGGCGACTCCTTGTAGTCTGCTTGGTGATTGTGGAATAGCTCAGCTCTGAGCCCAGTCCGTCCATGACCACCAACGTTTCAACCGGGATTTTTAGGGGTGAAAAATGTTGAAACCCTTAGCCAAATTCTGAGATGGGCATTGTGTGCAGAGTGAGAGAAGGGGGAGGGAGGGTGGATGTGGATAATCTGACCCCTTTAATCGGACTTGTGCCGTTGTCACCAAAAGCTTCAGATGGGTCATCATTTCTCCACCAAATTTAGTCTGTTGGCGCTCACTTTTTTTTTTTTTTTTTAAGATTTTATTTATTTATTTGACAGAGATCACAAGTAGGCAGAGAGGCAAGCAGAGAGAGAGAGGAGGAACCAGGCACCCTGCTGAGCAGAGAGCCCGATGCAGGGCTCGATCCCAGGATCCTGGGATCATGACCTGAGCCGAAGGCAGAGGCTTTAACCTACTGAGCCACCCAGGTGGCCCAATGCTCACTTTTCCATTTGGAAATGGGAGACAGTATCCCTAAACGGGAGATGTGTGAAAGGGCCGGATTCTTGGTAGTTATGCACTGGA